AGAAAGAAAGAAAGAAAGAAAGAAAGAAAGAAAGAAAGAAAGAAAGAGTCCTCATCATGACATTCCCTATTTTTGTTAATGACACCAAAATTTTTCAGTAACTAAGAACCTGGAGTCACAATGACCAAGATTCAAATCTTGCCTCTGAGAATTACTAGCTGTGTGACCCCAAGGAAATCCTTTAGCCTCTCTCAGCCTCAAATTTTCTCATTTGTAAAATAGGAACAATAATAGCACTCATTGACTGAGTTGCTGTAAGCATCAGATGAGATCCGTTTGTCAAGTTTTTGCAAAAAGTTAAAGTGCTATATGACTATCAGTTATTTGACCCCTTTCAGACTCAATTTGATCATTTGAGAAATAAATATAATACCTACAGAGATGTTGTGAAAATCAAACAAGATAATGCCTGTAAAGCTTTTCACAAATCTTGAAGCACAATATAAATCATAAAGTTATTTGAGTTATTTTAGCAAACTGGAGGGAGGAGAAGAGAGGAAAGAAAATTTGGGAATTGGCAGAGCATTCTGTGTTTCTAACTCGATAATTACAGTTGATGTTTACACGGCACTTTAAGGTTCACAAAGCGCTTTGAGTGACAATAATAATAATAACTGTTATTTAAATAGTACTTTAAGGTTTGCAAAGAATTTTACAAATATTAACTCGTTTGATTCTCACAGCAACTACATGAAGTAAATGCTAAACAGCGTGTCTGTTTGCTTCTAGGTCTTGCTCAGCACCACTGGAGGTGCATGGATGATCAATCTGGTTTTTGACCGTGGGTATCCTTGGGACATGGTGTTCACTTCTCGATTTCAAAGTGCATTAAGAAATTCCCTCCCAACTTCAGTTGTAAACTGGTTAATTGGCAAAAAGGCAAATAGCTGGTTTGATCACGCAAACTATGGTTTAGTTCCAGAAAACAGGTAATTTCTTGGCTTCTGTTTTGTGCTCTCTGAAAGGAGGGACCCCAGATTTCTCAATAACTTTTGCAAAGCTGGACTGCTGTAGCTGCTGCTGCAAGATATTTTTATTTTTTATGAAAGTTTGGAAAGAAAGAGTATAGAACCACATCCAAGGCTAAATGAAAGCAAGGGATAGACACATGGGCTTTTGTTCCATCGGTAAGGAGAAATTGCATCTTATAGTTCCCATTTGCACTTTCCTTAATGACCACCAGATAGACTCTCAACAAGACAATCTCAATTTAATTCAGCAAACATATAATAAGAAACTTATGTTCATTGTGGGAACCAAGATAGCTGTGACATTAACCTCTCAAGATGCTTAGTGTTACAGAGGGCATATACACAATTACATATAAGGGCCAGAATAAGATAGGTAGATAGGAGAGGCTAAGCAAAATTCCATGAGTAATTCAAGGAGAGAAAAATTTTATCTACTAGGGCTCATCTGCTGGGGTGGCAGAAGGGGGTAGGTGTAGTTAGCAAAGGGAAGGAGGGAGAGACACAAATTAACTGGCATTTATTAAATACCTACTGTATGCCAGGCATTGGGGATACAAAGTTTCTGAGGATATGAAGAAAAAAAAGAAACAGTCCCAACACTCAAGGGACTTACAGGTTATATACATATATACATATATAATATGAAATATAATTGTATATATACATATATGGATTTATGCATATATGTGTATATATTTATGTGTATATACATATATGATAGATTATGTATATATACATACACACACAATCACACACACACACACATATATAACATATATATACATATATGTAAGAGACCTGTTTGCAACTTCAGAAGAAGAGTGCTATGGAAATATCTCTAGTTATTCACAGAAGGTATGGTGTCAGAAAGTAGATAGAACTAATCAGGAATCACTGAAATTTGGAAAAAAACATAGGAGTGCTGAAGGGCATGCAGAAACCTGAAGGTCCACCACTTAGGTGTCCTCACTCTGTTTGAATGTTGGTCAGGCAGTAGTCCCTAAGGAGGAAGTCAGTATCAGAAATTTATAAATCCTTCCCTTCATAACTTCTTTCTCTCGAGTCTGACACCTCATAGTCATTGAAAAGGGAGAAGTCCAGAACAAAAGGTAGGATCAGAGGGAGGTCAGAGGATAAATGAGACCTATTATTCATTGGTGCACCTCTTCCTTCTCTGCTTTTATTTAGGACTTTCCTAAGAGAACCTGTACTGAATAGTGAGCTCCCAGGATGCATAATTACTGGGAAGGTGTTGATCAAACCCAGTGTGGAGACAGTGAAGGACAACTCTGTAGTGTTTAAGAATACTCCAGAAGAAGAACCTGTTGACATAATTGTCTTTGCCACAGGATACACTTTTGCTTTTCCTTTCCTTGATGAGTCTATAGTGAAAGTTGAAAACAATCAGGCCTCTTTGTATAAGTATGTATTCCCTGCACATCTGGAAAAACCAACCCTGGCTGT